CGCCAGGAACCTTTATGGGGCTGTACGCGGGGACACGTACACTTGGGGGCTGAATTTGAAATCTTTCAGCCATCTGTGGACGGGGAATATAATTTCATAATTTCGGCCTGTCTTTTCTCGTCCCCGAGCTGTCAGTTTTCCCGCCAAAACTTTCACCCTCTCGTACGCGGGGTCTAGACTTGCATGAGGGTCGCTGCCGCGATTCTGGGCTGGCACTTGGCCGGGAACCCCCTAGCAAAATCTTGGCGCTGGAAATTGCTTGATTGCCGAGTTGAAGTACCCGGCCAGACGAACACACACATACACACGGGGTCGTTGCAATATGCGTTTTTGCAATTTGCATAAGGCAAAAACGTATAGTGAACTACCTGTTCAAAGAGTAATTTCCTCGCCAAAACTTTCGAGTGCTCGTACGTGAGAACCACGCGTCCCTGAAAACTGAGAGTTGAATTTTTAAGTTGCATGTAGGCAGAGAACACTCCTTAAAAATTTCAGTTTTCCAGCTTTTCTGGTTCACAAATTGACAGTTTTTCCCCCAAAGCTCTCACGTGCTTGTAAGCGGACTAACGTGCTATCGCAGTCTTGGGGTGGCACTTGGCTGGGGGACTCTCTGATAAAATTTCAGTGCCGAAGCTTGCTCGGCTGCCGAATTGAAATACCCGGACAGACGCGCACCACACGCACGCACACACATACACACACACACTCACTCACACATACACACACATACATACACACACACACTACTGGCCATCATAGTATGCGATCTGCATTTGCATATATGCAAAAACGCACAAAGTGAAAATGGACGGCTTGCATTAATTATCGGTTCATGATATGCTAATTCCGAATAGATATACTTCCCGCGTTGTTGGTCGGGAGGACAGAAGTCAACCTTTCATATCACCGTTTGGAACATTTTTATTGAGTAGCCCGTCTCTTTATGTTGACCGTGCGGGTGGGCTGGGCTGGAAGTACCATTTCTTTTTACAAGAAGTACCATTTCGTCGCCTTTTTTAGCAGAAGGGAGAAGGGACTGGAGAAAGCTAGCACCAGCTTATTACATTAGTTCTAGCATTACCGAGGTATTGCGTCCTTGCCTTATTGTTTTTATGCGTTTTTTGCATCCATGCAGTGCAAAACGCATATTTTCAAGGGATTGCCTGTGTGCGTTTGCTTGCTTGTTCGTCCGTGCCGATTTTCGAGACTTACAGTAGCTACAAGGCTGAAATTTTGGCAACTTACGGGTTCCTTCCCTTAAAATGGACGCTCACCCCACATGATTCTCGCGTCTCTTGAAATTTTTGGCGAGTAAATTTCTAACTGGGGAACCAGAAAAACTGGAAAACTGAATTTTTAAGGGGATGTTTTTTGACGGACGTAGTGGCCAGTCTCTAATCTTTTAGCCAGATGCATCTTTGGGAAAAAAACAGCGCCACTAGCGACAGAAGCTTGCGGAAAACTGTGCAAAAAACCATCTTCGCACCGGTAGTCTATGCGCTGTCCAATCATTTTTAATTATTCTGCGTGTTTTGAATTAGTTTGAAAATGTGCTTTTAGTAAGTTTTAAGAAATTAAACAACTAAACAGGAATATTTCGGTTACTTAGTTTGTGCGCATCTCTATTGAGCACCCTAACTTGAAAGCCTTTCAATTTAGGTTTTATTTTCGTGAATTTAAGGTGATATTGCCCACAG